ATACAGGTATTTAAACACCAGAGACAGATTTGCTACTCATAAGAATCTGTTTTCAGTAGGAGATCTGAAATACATAGCTCGAGGCTAATAGCTGCAGGAGTGGAGTATCCTGCAGATTCCAAAGCTGTAGGAAAGCAAAATATTAGGGAGTTAGATGGATGAAACTTGTGTAAGCCTGTGTAAGCTTCAGTTGCAAAACAGAAGTAAAGCTAAGTAACATCCAGAAAGGACTGCTTTCCAACATTCCAAAAAGGAATCTTGGGTAGATTCTCTTCCAGTCCCCAGAAGGGCTCTTGGAAGCAGAAGTTGGAGGCAGCTGGAGGCAGTGAGCCACTGTGGCAGCCGTGGTGGCAGGGTGCTTGGAGAGCTGCTTCCAGGTTGCACCGATCCTTGTTGGAAGGGGCCCTACCTGTTGTGGAGCAGGGGGAGAAGGGGAGAGCAAAGCAGGAGGAAGATGCCTTGTAATTTCTGCACTAGTAATGAAGTTCTGCAGTAGTAGTGAAATGTGAAAATACAGCTGGAGTGTAAGTTTTGTGCAGGCCGGGGCCTCGGGCAGGAAGTCAGAGTGCCGAGGAACGGGGGAGCTCTGAGCTGCGGCGGGTGATGTTACCAGGGTGCTTGGGCAGCCATGGCACTCAAACACGAGTCCGTTTTAGCCTGCAGCTGACCTTGGTCTTCCCTTCTGGAGCAGCGACACGTGGGCTGTGTGGGGCTGCCCGCAGCTGCATTTCTAGACATGCAGCAGATCAACAAGGCGTTCGCAGATGCACCCCAGCTGAGCTGCCACAGCCTGATATGAAAAAAAAAATCTGCTTTTGCAAAGTGTTTTCCTTTCCCCTTCTCAGCCTTTTCCCTCCAGACGTTTTTTCCGCTTCCCCTTTACTGGACTCCACTTCAGTCCTCATGTTTCTACGGGATTCGTAGGTCCTTCACCACCATCTCACTGTCCTTAAGAGCTGGCTTGTTATATGAGCGATGGGAAAGTGTTGTGTTCCCTCTGTCCCAGTGTGACATATTTCCGATTTTCCATTTTTATCCTGCAGCTTCACTGCTTTATCTTTCCTGTCCATCATGATGGAAAGGATGTGCCCAGTAAGTCCATAGTTACCTGTCCTCTTGCTTTGAGAATCAAGTCATTTCTTGTTCATCATCTGGGCACTTACTTTCCTCTGTAAAATAGTTTTCAAAGACTCAGAGAAACAAGAGAAGAGGATGACAATTACAAAATAAAGTAAATCTCAGCAAACTACTTTATCCCCCTTTTTCTCCCAAGGGCAGCATGTAGGTAGGTGGTAAGCAATACGTGATGAACAGTGTTTTCCTGTTGCAAGAGCTGTAGAGAAATCTGCAGGAAATTCACAGCTTGGGAAGAAAGATCCCTTAGGACTGCTGTGTTTGTTCTTTTTTTGTTTGTTTCTTTTTTCCTAGAAATCCCTGTATTATATGGTCTTTGGTGGCCAACAGTGAGATCCAGTGTTCTGTGCAAATTGTCAAGACTTTGTACTTCAGTGGAACTAGAAAAGTCTGATGAACACAAATTCTAGTCAGTCTTTCTGTATGTATTCTTAAGTACAAAAGGGTTTCTTGAAATAATAGTTTGGAGTAATAATACATGTATTTCTTCTGAGATCAAGAAAAACGAATCTTTTACACTTTTTCTATGTCTTACTTTGCTTGAAAAAAGAGTTTTAAAGCTAGTTCACAAATGTAAGTAGGGCAAGCATCCTAAAATATGGGCAATCTTTCCAAATTATACAAAATGCACAGATTAAAAAAAAATGAATAAGAATCATAGAAATGCTCTTTGGAAAATTTCTTACGATTTAGCAAATAACATTTTTCAAAGCAGAAGTTAATAACTTGCATGTCTAGATTCATTCCGACCTGTTCCCAGGTAATCTGTATTTACTACTTGCCCATAATAATCTGGCTTCTCTCCTTTCAGCTGCTGCTTTTGGCACGGCAGTTTTTGTATGAAATGTTTAATTTCCTCTCTCTTATATATCCTTGAAAGAAATATATGTGCATATATATATATATTTATGTATGTATATGTGCCTATATGTATGTATGAGCAGTACTGCATATGTACCTAGAATCCGCTCAAAATAATTTGTAGGGTACAGAATTGACCTAATTCTGTTGCTGTTGAATTATGAGGAAACTGCCTCAAACAGCCAGCAGTGCTGTTAGACCAGCAATTTTTTGAGAGTTAGCAGTGAAATCCCCTTTAAAATCGGTGTCAATTTAGTGTTGTGTCCAGCTTCTGGTAGCTATGGTTTTGCATGCTTTTTCTTCTTTATTTCTGATACTTTTTAGTATAAAATAATAATTTGTTAAATCAGAGAATCTCTTACTGTACAGGTGCTCACAATGATCTGGGAAAGACTGCTTGACATGCAGTGTGGAGCACTTCTATCTATAAATAGAGCTAATTTGGTGGAATTATGAATACGTCCCTGTAGGAATTTTTAGGGAAATTGGGTAAAAGGAGCAGAGAGGTGTTACTGGATGTGGGGGAGGACAGTGAGGATGGGAGTTTGACAGGTGGTCTGCATGCAGACTAGTATTAAAATGTAGTCTGTGCTATGAAAAATGGATTGTGCCCTCGCCTTAAAGGATTAACCTTTATATATATGTGTGTGTGTAGCATGTTAGGTTTGAATAAATCTAGCTGCATTGTAAGCTGTCATGAATGTGTTAAATCCAGCTTTATAGGAGCATGGTTTCTCTATTTCCAACAAGTGAGACAAGTATCCTTTTATAGATTTGCATAGTACATGCAGGAGAATTAAAATAACTGAACAAATAGTATTGATCCTAATGTGAAAATTCCTCCTAAATCTGTAGTTTGGGCATCCTAGTCCTCATTGCCATTCAGCTTAATCCTCCAATTTCTCAGGGACATGCTTTCTAGCAAAAATCTTTTGGTCCTTTTAAATTATTAATGTCATTAAAATTTATAATTTTCTGTCATTACCTCTAGGAAAATAGAGATTTTAATGTGAAACATAATTGTCTCATTTTGCAATTTGTGTTACGATAGCTGAGCACACCCAGAGCAGATTTAAATATTCCCCTGAACAAAGGGGCTAGGAATTACAAACCAGCTGAAATAAATAGGTGAGTGCTGCAAGTGACCAGTATTTGTGTGCAAATAGATGGATAAACAAATGCCACATGTTTTTCAAGGGTGAACTTAGTACTTGTATGACATGCACAGAGAAGAAGACAGAATTATTATTGTTATTGTTTTTCTTCAAGCATCTCTTGTACAGAAGCAAAAGCAACTGCTGGTGCTAGGGAAGGAAGTGCCTGGCAGTGCAGCAGCAGCATCGTGGGAGATATATAGAGATGCATAGATATAAGTAAACACTTTGCTTAGTTGTTGATGTCATGGTGAAAATAACCATTTTGTAACACATACATAAAGGAACGAAAACACGTTGTTTTTAAATACATAAGCAGACAAAACAGAACTTGGTCATGAGACGGGTGCGAAGCCTGGCAGGCCCAGGCCTGTGTTTCACACGCGTGCCCCTGCTCTGGGGGTGCCAGCACCAGCTTCGCGCGCGCGTTTCCCACCCGGCCCCGTGCGCCAGGGCTGCCAGCCTTGGGGCTGTCGCTGCTGCCGCCCGCTGGCTGCCCGGGGAGGGCTGTGAGCAGGACACGTCCCCACGGGGCCGCGGGGGGCAGAGGCTCCGCGCGCCGGGGCTGAGGAGGCCGCGGGGCTCTGCCAGCCGAGGGACCCCGCGCTGCCTCCCACGTGGCCACGGGCCGCCCATGTCCCAAGGTGGCACGTTAAGTACATCAGCTGCTACAGGAGTGTATTTGGTTTTCAGTCTTCTGGTTCTTCTCCTCTGCACTGGTTGGTCTCTCATTAATACAAAGGATTTCACCTTCTACAAAGTTAAAAATTCTTACTCCTAAAAAAGATGGAAAACTGGCAAAAAGAACTGAACAGAGCCAACACGGCAGCACAAGTGAACCGCAGTAAGTCATTATAATAACTCCACAGTCATTTCACTTGTAGAGTGACAGAATGAAGGCAAAAAACAAAAATATTCTTTCCTGAATGTTAAAAATTGGGGCCCAGGCTGGCAGTGGCTGCTGCATGTCCCAAGGTGGCACGTTCCAGGCAGGGAGTAGCCACCACACACCATGCTGCTCGTGCGACACAATTCCTTTTTCTTAATAAAAAAAAAAAAAAATGACGTGTAGCTGTGTTGGCTTCAGCCACAGTGCAGTAGATGCAGGTTTTGTCCCCATGTGAAAGCGGAGCTGAGACATGGGCAGGTTGGCAAAGCAGCCCTGCAGATGCTAAGCCTGGAGGCAGGAGTGACCTGTCCTTGAGGCTTCCTTGCTCCTTATCCTAGCTTAGTCTGTGTGAGGAAACCTGTGTCCTTCAGTCTGTCAGGTCCTTCCACAAAGTTCCCCTATTCTTGATTCCTTTTCCTGTTTTGGGGAACTTCAGAGGGTTTCCTTGCATTGTTAGACATGTCCTCCTGTTCTTATGGGAAAAGAAATTTCCTGTGATGATGTTCTCAGGCCTCTGTGAGCGTAAGGCCCGTCTTTCTGAAAGCTAGTTGTACTTTGCATTTGTGGTTTTGCTCTGAGCATGTAGCGAGGGGCCGTTCCTTTAAATCAAAACCCTTTCTGTATAAACGTGGTCTAGACCCTGACTGAAGGCTCTTCCTCCTTATTTACAACCAGCAGAGACCATCCCTGTACTTCACAATGAGGAATTGCCTCCCTAGTGTGTTAGGATTGCCAAGGTAGACGGTGTTGTGTTAGACTGTTTCCATTTTTGTTTCAGGTGATGCATAAAAAAACACCATCACTATTACTAAACACAAAGTAAGATCGATTGGCCCAGGCTAAACGCGTGCATGTGTATTTTCTTCCACAGTCTGTTAGAAACATCTATCAAATAATGAAAGGAGTGTATAAAATGCATGGATACGTTTATGTTTCTGATAGATTCTTGTCTCCTTTTGCAGGAAATCACTGACAACGAGATATTGGAGTTGGTACATAGCGCTCTGGGGAGGATGACAGTTATCCGGCAGATATTCCCCCTCTCAAGGGACAACAACCAGAGGTGCATGAGGAACAACCACCGAATCTCCTCGCTGCTGTGCGACCCGCAGGAAGGCTATCTGCAGATGCTGCAGGTCAGTAGCTCTGCCTGCCAGAATGGTCCTCCTCCCAAATTTGGCCAACTACACGATGTCGGAGGAGATGTAAGAAGGACGACTAAAACGAGTATACTTTGATCTTGTAAAGTGTTAGAAGGTGATTGTGCTGGCTCACAGCTGGGTTTGGATATTTTATCCTGCTAAGATCCTTTGTGCTGTTACTGCTTATTATTGTATTTATAGACGAGAGATCTGCTGTGAAAGAGTTAATCTGTGAGGATAACATGACTCTGATAGCTATTGGGCTGTAGAGCATTTCATATTTAGTTAAATGGCCTGCATCCAGCTGATGTTTTCAATCTGCCCTGTTTCAGCAGCCTCGGAGATCTCTAGCAGCTGATAATTGTCTGAGCCTGTGAAATATGCTCTACTAGTTCACGTTCCAGATTTTGGTAACAGATATGACTTTGGTGTAGGCAACGTTGCAGGGCTACTTGTATTTTTCCTACAGTAATTCAAGTATAAGCTTCATTTCAGGCGCCCTTCGCAAGGCGGCTCAGTAACTGGGAGGTGTAAGTCTGGGACGTTCAGGGGACTATGCACTGGGGTTGCTTCAGATACTGTTAAGAACCACATCCCTGGTACTGTGGGAGGTGCAGCATAAAACTTTGGAGAACCTGAGCGCATAAGTGTGGTCAGAACCTTTTTATGTGGAATTAATATGAATATTCCCACCTTGAAGCTCTGTCTGGTTCGGGCTAGCCCCCAGGCAGAGTTTGGGAAGCGCCAGCCTGGCGCAGTGCCGCTCTGCGTGCCACGGGCAGTGCGGTTCTGCCCTGCCTGGCCCGGGGAAAGCCCGGTCCCCTCCCGGCCCGCAGAGGGAAGGAGCTCCGGAGGAGCTGTCCTGAGGAGAAGGGCCACAGGTTGCAGAGAGTCAAAGCAATTCCCAGCATGTTGAAAAGTCTGTCTGTCCTGAACCAACAAGTCACTCAAGGGAGGAACAGTCTTGCATTATGGCAGGGTTTTGACTATTGCTGTCTATGCTGGTTTATGCAAAATCTAATTCAGAGGCTCATCTGGAGGACTCTGACAGACCTCTCTAAGCAAGTTGTTACTGCTAAAACAGTAATTGGTTTGCTGGCTTGAATAGCCTCACTCCCTTTCCCTAAGCTGACAAGGAGCCTTTAGGAATCTAAACACTCTTCTTACTGCTTGACAAATGTGGGCTTTGAGAAGCAAAACGTCCTCAGGATTCAGATTTCCTGTCTTCCAGAAACCCTTTACCACCTTAGAAACTGTCATTAAAAGGATGGAATGGCAATGCGGTTCTTTGCCCATTAATTCTGTCTCTTGGAAGTCTCCTGCTGCTCTCTGAACCAAGAGACAAGGAAAAGGTGCAAGGAGCCTGCTCCCTGCTCTGGGGGTGCCAGGGAGATCGCCTTCAGCAAGTCCTTTCCACAGCTTCCATGTCCAGTCCCTCTGGAATGAAATACCCTCAAAGGTGAGGGATATTGTTCTGCTACCAGTCTCTCAAGTCAACCACTTGCAAAATGTCGTGAATTGCCTTTAGGTTTCGGCAATTTGGATGCAGCGGTGCTTTTAGCATGTGCAGTTATATCTGAAGTGTTCTCTGTCTGCCTTTTTGTCATGTATGTTGCCAAAACATCTTAGAAAACACCTTGTGGGTACACAGCTCATACTCACTGCCAAATATGACTGATGTGTTGTTACTGGCCCTGCAGTTCAGGTACTTCCAATCTTCTGTTTCCTCTCTTTTGCTTAAAAAAATACTTTTGACCTTTTATGCCACAGAAAAGCACATCACTGAATTACCCCATTGCCAGAGGCTGCGGTAGCCGCGAGCTCCATGTCAGCAGCATGAATCCAGCGGGGCTGGGGCTGCCTGCCGGCGCTCCGGCCCACGCTGCTTTCAAGCAGCTTGATTACACCCCTTTGGAAATCCCTGGCGTATTTTCCCTCGGGCAGTTTCATATTAATAACTCTTTGTTGTCGAGGTTTCTTACCAGCTATTATTGGTTAATTATTTATTTAATGACTTTGAAGAAGAATAAGCTAATCTCTGTCAGCCTCTTGCTGTGAGATTTTTATAGGAGAGAATTTAGTGTTTTTAACAAGCTAGTAAAGAAACATTTGCGTCATGGATTATTAACTTTATTCTGGCTAAATTAATGAAAATGTTTAAGGAACAATTTTGTTCTTGGTATCTTTGGTACCATATCCTGGAAAGTTGTTTTTCAGTGGGTGATCATCCCCGCTTGGCATGCTGACAAGGCTTCTAAAGATCAGGCTGTTCTGCAAGCTCATCCAAAAACTCATCTGTTCTGAATGCTTTGTGGAAATCCAATCTTACTCCATCAACTCACTTGTCAAAATTTTGCTCATGCCCTTATTTCTTGCACGTATAATACACCCAGCTGGATTTCTGCTTCAACTGGAGAAAAAGCTTTATGAAGTTTCCCATCCTGAAGGTTTTATTTGAAATTGGAAGACTACATTTATCTCTTGTCTTACTCTTCATACATGATTTTCTGGGCCCATTTCATCTGTTCTTTCCAAAGTGGAAAGCGGATAATTTAGACCTTGCTCTCTCCCATTGGCGATGAGCATCCTGTGGTTTCAGCCATCAGCAGTCGGTGCTGTCTCAGCCGCAGGGATAATACTTGAGCCCCTTTGGAAGCTCTACAGGATTAGAGAGGTCCTGTTAGTCATAGGTGTTCCCTGTATATACCCCTGTGTGGCGCTTGAGTGTTGCTTGCCAATGTAGAGTGGGATTATCATCATTAAATTGTTTAGATCATCTCAGAGACTGTTTCACATAGTAAATTTGAAGAAATGTTAATGCATGACCAGCTTCCTCTTTCCAAATCCTTCTCCTTTAAACACTAGTTTGAAGTCTGGCTACAGATTTGGATTTGTGATTGAGATGTTTTCCCTATACAAGGTTCTCTCTGATGTGTTTTGTTATAAAACCAAAAGTTGTTTTGGTGGTTACGTTTTTGAAGAAAGATCTCCTTTAGAATTGCGGTTGTCTTGAAGGTTTTTTCGTTTGTCTGTTTGTTTTACTGTTTATACAGATAATAAATTCCAACTGTATGGGACCTCATTTTTATTTAAAGCATATTACAGGGGCACAGGACATCTAACATTATTTAGCATGAGGCAAAAAATACAGTAAGATTAAAAAGGCAGAAAGAAGAAGAAGACCCTGGCAAACTGGGTCACCAAAAGAATGAGGTTACTTCTCACAGGGTTCGGAGCCCCACCTCCCTGCTTCAGAACTATTCCAGGCGTTGCTTTGACATACTTGAACAGTAGATGTTGAGAAGCGTGGGCAGGTATTCCTCGAAACAGCTACTCTTCTACTTGTGAGAACATAATTTCATTCTTCAAGGATTTGACCATCAGACTCTCTGTAGGCTTCTCTTAGCACTTGCTCCTCCAGAGCTACATTTTTTCTGATGAGACATCTTCTCTTTAGGTGTACTGCAGTCTGACTGCTCTGCACAGAGCTACTTACTGCACGTGTGTGTGGCTGCACAGACGTGCCCAGGGCCTGATCCCGCAGCTTTGTGTGGCCGAGCCGGCTCGCTGCCAGGGGACCTGTTTGTGCTGCTGTTACAACCTGGCTGTAAAGAGCTGCTGGAGGCAGCAAATATTGATTGAGCCCTACTGAAAATCTCACGGGGGGTTGGTGAGCCGCACGTTTCCCTTTCCTTTCATTGCAAACCTGTTTTTGCTCATCTCTTTGGCAAAGTCTATTTTGGACATTCAGTCATGGTGAAACTGCCTCTGAGCAGTACAAAAATGAAAAGTTGCCTTAAACTGACCGTAGGGCGCGATGCAGGGCATATCATCTCCCTGAAACTAAATGTCATGTCTTCCATACAAAGAATGTAAATAGAAGAGCTGGTAAAAATAACTCTGGTGCCCGCTGGCCCACCACGATTTTGTGAGCATCCTGGAGGTAAGAACCCACTGAAATCCTGGAATGAGCTTTTCCTCCCTGCTTGGACAACCTCTTTTGACCACATGGAGTCCCTCTGTATCTATTTGCACAATTAGATATTTAACTGAAATTTTATTCAATGCTTTATCAAGGAGTGGACAACAGTGGCTAGAAGCAAGTACACCCATCTCTGGATTAAGGCCTTGAAACCTAGCCTGCGCACTCTTTATTTACATATGGTACAGTATAAAATAATAACCTTCTTGTACTTCATTTTGTGATTGCAATATTGTGTCTTGTCCTCTTCCCTGGCCCTCAGTTCTCTTTATCAGGCACTTCCTGCTAGACTTGCCCAGGATGGTTGGTGCTACCTGGGCCAGGTTCTCCAGGCAGTTAGTGCAGGAAGCCCCTGCCTGCAGCCGGCAGGCCGGAGCATCCTTGTGCTGGACGTACTGTGTTGCTCCAGAGCGTACTGAGAAGGAAACTGCTCACAGTCGTGGTGATTGTCCATAAGAGGAGGAGGACATTGGGCATTCAAAGAATATAGACTGTAGGGAGGGAAGAGGGTGGTGTGTAGCTCAATACAGATGACACGCAAGCCCAGCCTCGCACTGCAAGGAAACCATCCGGCCTTGCCACTCCTTGGCGTCAACAAGTCTATAAAACGGCGTTGAAGGATCCTCTTAGGAGATTTGAATCCTCAGTGTGGATTTCCTCCCTGTCTCTGCTAGTGCACAGTGGGTTTTTTCCTCATTGCAGAATAAAGATTCCTGATGACTGAAATAATTTTCAGGATATATACCGGAACAGGCCTAAAATTGCTTACATACAGTGTAAACTCGTTAATGCGCTGGGGAAAATGGTGTTTTCTAACTGATGAGCCATGGAATTACAGCTCTTACCGATGGTGATCATTCTCCTAGCAGATGGGTCAAAGAGCACTTCAGTACAGTTTTAATACCTCCAGCTCTTAAGGGTCTCAGCAATCAAGAGAAATGGAAAATTACAATTTCTTCCTCCAAACACAACGAAAGAGAAGCACTTTGGTTTTCTAATACAAGAATTCCTGTTACATGAAAGCTAGTCCCTGCAGACAGATATGTGGCTTCCCTCCTCCACTCCCTCTGTGCAGGTCTAAATAGGGGCAATGAGAAATCCGACAAAGTTTGGAAAACCCAAAGGAGGTGATTCGCGTGCCTGTTTTGTTGCTCCTTCTTTGTGTGCAGTTCTGAACACTACATGAGGACTGATTTCTGTATACACTGTTTTCTCTTGCCTCGGCCAGCAAGGGTGGAAAAGGGCACAACTCATCCTCATCTCTTCAGTGTCTCAACACTTCGCTTTCACAGGTCATTTCGCCTGCACAAGGCGTTTGAAATTGAAATTAGCTGGAAATTGAGATGTGTGAGCACTTGCAGTAACGAGCGTAGAGGGGCCTTGTCCAATGGCCCCTCTTTGCTTTCACAGCGTCACCGTTCTGGATATAAACCTGGTACCTGTGTGGAATATTTAGGGGAAGCCATTTCTCTTCAAAATACGGTGACTGATGGTGCCCTTGACAGAGCTTTATGTAGTCAAGTTGAGTAGCATGTGCTGCGAGCAAGGTTGTTGTGACTGCCTTGCTTTGATGAAGCTGTGGAGGCCTATGGAGTTTTTGATGTGTTAAGAGGAATGACATAGGAAATAAAGCAAATCATTGCAGCACTGGATATACTGTGAGATCTGGCCAGAATTTGTGTCTTGCCTGAGTAACTTTTTGTCTATAAGAAAATATTCATGTAGGAGCAAATTCAGGCAGAAATACATGTAGAATGTATTTGAGGGCTTTAAGTATTCTTGCTTTTCTACCTCAAAAATAAATAGGGAAAAAAGAAAAGATAAAAATACAGCTTTAAGTAAACAGTAGTAGAAAAGAGCATAGTCCCTTTTTGAAATACTGTTAATTCCTTGTACGGATCAGACAGACTTTGTCTTTAGCTTCCTTTTCCCTCTCTTTTTAGTTGGCTATGGAAATGACCCAAAAGCCAGCCCAGCAGAGCACTCATTCAGCTGCGCTGATACAAACTTGGCAGTGTTCTTCCATTTTCCAACATAAGGTTAGCTCCTATTTGGGGTTAAGCGAAGGCATTCACTCTTACTGTTGATGTTCAGGAGCTGGATTTTTCTCTGTTTAGTACACAGGGTCTGAAGAGGAGCTATTTTCTAAGTTATTGTCATGTTTTCATTTGTTTTTGATTATTTTTTGCACTTCAAAGAAAGATACTATTGACCTAAAGGACTTCCAAAACAATACTGTGATATAAGCAGCCTGCCTGCTCTTGCTGTGAGTAAACGCAGGGTTTATGCTCTGAATTTTGATCACTGAACGAAGCCAGACACTTCCTTTGAGACAGGTATTTAAAAGATTCTAACCTTAATAGGGCAAGTTTCTATATTTGTTGTTAATTGATGACTTAGCTAGCAGACACACCAAATGTAATGTCAAGGAAAAGGTTGTCTTTCTAATATTAGAAATCCAGCCTCGGTTGTGGAGGTTCTGTTGTGTTGTTTTGCTTTTGGTTTTTTTTTCCCCCTTAGTTTGCACATTTTCTAGTTTAAAAGGAAGTGTTGATTGTGAGAATGAAATCAACTTATTCTTCCAGGGAATATTGGCTCTGAATAGCAGTAAAATGGGATAATGTATATATACCTCTCTTTTTTACTGGAGTAAACGCTCAGAGAACGATTATGTGAAAAGAGGTGCTTTGCAGATTAAACATTACCACACAGTAGCTTTTCGGAGGAGACTTGGCAGCGTGAGCGAACGGGAGCAGGAGGTTGCAGAGGAGCAGTGTGTAGAGTAGGGTGCACGCAGCAGTCTTTCCATGGCAAAAAAATAACTTGCTCGTCAAGGTTTTCTTGTGTCCTCATCTCCGCATATGTGACAGGAAGAAATAGATTGTATGAAGCTTCTCCTTCTTGCTGTCATTGGGGCTGTATCTCTTTATTCCAAGGCAAATAACGAGGGTATTCAGCCAAACTATTGGTTTGTTTGCTCTGCAGCATCGGGTATGAGAGTTGGATTCATGGTCACATAAGCTAGGATCCTCAAGCGTGCAGTCCAGGATGTGCACAGAGCCCCGTAAGATGTGCAGAGGTCTTGGAGGTCTTCTCTGAGAGCACGGTGAGCAGCCAGAGAAGCGGAATGTCCCCTGTTTTGCCCTGGAGCTCTCTACTGGCAGACTAGGAAAGCTGTTTTGGGGAGTGAGGCTGCGGATTTTCGGGACCGGACTAGAATGGCAGCTTTCCTTATGCACATGAAATCTCTTCCTAAGCAAGCAGGGTTTCCTGTGGAGACTGGCTTAGCGCAGAAGAAAAAAAAGTACCCCTCAAATAATAAGGATTCACCCGATTGCTTTATTTGAAAGATATTTGGCAAATAGAGTAGAGAGACAAATGCAATTGAGCCGACAAGACTTAACGCAGTCGGAGGCTTAGCTGCTGTGACTCTTCTCATTAACTCTTTTAAGTACTTTTCTTAAGAAGAGAGGAAACGTGGGAAGTCACTTTGGAAACTCTTTAAGAGGATAAGTATTAGCTGAATAAAATACTAAGTATGAGGATTGTGAATTATTTGTTGAGCGAGGCCAAAGGGAAAAAGAGGGGAATGTGATATTAAAAATTAGCAGTGCCATATGGGAAAGATTCTATTAGTCCCTTCAAATTCTTGTTAAATAAGCAGGGACCTTCAGCTCCTTTTTAGGTATTTTCTATTTTGATGCTCTTTAACTTTTGCCTATGATTTTTTTTGATGTTTATTTACGCTAGAAGCTTTTTCAAAGTAACTAGGATCTAAATTTATGTTGAACTTTAGGTTATGGAAAAGGGAACGTTTTGTTTCTGAAGATCAGAGCTGCTAGATGATACCGGAAGTTAACTTGCAGTCCATGATGTCACAGGGATATATATTTTCACAGCCGAGTGACATTTTATAGCCAATTTACAGTGCATTAAGTCCCCCAGTCTAAGCTGTAGGCACTGTCTTCTCCAAAGCCAAAGAAAAACACAAAGTGGCAAATTTGTGGATCACTATGGCTAAGGCCTTCAGTTAGGAGATTTTTTTTTCTTTAAAAAAATAAAGCTTTGGCACTTACAGTGGACACCACGCATGCCAAGGACCTGATTTTGTACTAGTGACTGTGTCTTGGTCTGATCAAATATAGCTGTCTTACTAGTGTGTGTTAGTCCAAGAACCTCTGCTGTCAACGATTGCTCTGTTTCTCCCAGGTAATGTGAAGAATAAGGAAGCCATGTTCAATAGCTCCGCAGAAAGAGAACACTCATCAATCTCTGTTCTTTACGTTTGATGGAGAGAGATGATGAGACAAAAATAATATTGCCATTTATCCTGCCTCTGTTCTAAAATATGCCGTAGTAGTAATTCTTGGTAAAATTCCTTTTTGCCTTTTGCTATTTTTGTATGCCAGAAATTACCAAGAAGATTGCTAGACTGAGCAGAAAGGGTAAGAGGTTAATTCCACTCCATCCTTTTCTCCTTGCTGACATAACTGACAAAGTAACAGTCCCTGCCCTGTATTGATGGATGACCAATTCTGCCTCCTGGAACTGTATTTGAGCAGGGATGTTTTGAGTCCTTTCTGTCCCTCCTAGCAGCAGTGGCACCCAGGCAGGGCGAGCGCACAGCAGTCCCTTTGCTGGAGGAGCCCGGGGCCAGGCCGCAGGAGGGAGGATCTGCCCGGCCTCGACGGCCGCAGGTGTTGGACACGCAAGGCTTCCAGTTTGTATTCACGGCTTCGGTTCTCCTTGGCAGGTGTCCAACCTGTACCTGTATGACAGTGTGCTCATGCTGGCCAACGCTTTCCACCGCAAGCTGGAGGACAGGAAGTGGCACAGCATGGCCAGCCTGAACTGCATGCGCAAGTCCACCAAGCCCTGGAACGGGGGCCGATCCATGCTGGAGACCATCAAGAAGGTGAGAGCAGAAAGCCATGCTTGTGCAGGTGATTGACAGTGTTCTGCTCTGTCAGACAGCTTTGCTTGCTGTTAGCTTTTGAGGAGCTTTATGACCTCTACTTAACTTGCCTTTGATTTATTCCAAGCAAATTGTTTACACCTGCTATAAATGATTTACAGTTATTAAACAAGCAAATCAGATTGCCCACACTGCTTTGTTGCTCCAGTGGTGTGTGTTCTCCTTCTGTTGCTATCATTGCTGCCTTCCGAGGAAGCAGTGTGGTAGGAATAGGCACTGAGATTGATATGTGCATACACCTTGGGGATTTCCCCAAGAGGAGAACTTCAGTAGCTTGCGGGGTCAGCCAGTGACAACGTTTAAGACTTATCTGCAAAGTACTGCAGCTCAGCTAGCCTCATAAATTATCTCAGCATCTGCACCTATCTGCTTGTGTACTGACAGACAATTAGCACCAGGAGTTGTGCTGATTTGCAGGGTATTGCAAATATTGACAGTACTGTGAATTTGCAGATGCATAGGAAGATTTGCCGTGAAAGACATTTGATCAGAAGTTTGAGGAGAAAAAACATTTATTTTTTAGTATGCTGGCTTAAGCAATTCTTTAGAGAAAAAAAAAGCTGTTTGTCATAACTTATATGTCAATGACTGTTTCTATTCTAGTGAAATGGTGTGATTTGATGAAGTGCTATGTTACACTCTGAGGAGTCCTTATGACACCGTCTCTGGTTGCCCATAGTTACCTCAACATGTAGCTGCTTTCCTGCAATCCCAAAGTCAAACTTGGTGATACTTCTACAGGGAAGTTTAATAATTAAAAATGTGTATATATCCTTTTTGTCACATCCAACTCGATAGCACATGAGGCATTGCTCTTTTCTTTAGGCCAGGGGTTCATGCCTTTATTTTCAACATTAGACCTGCTCCAACCAGCTGTGTCAAGAAGGTCATTGCCTCGGAGTCCCTCCTGCTTTTCATTGGGGTAAAACTGGATGAAGGATAAAGACCTAATTTGATTTGATTTATTTTTTTCTTTACCTTATAGAGTGGATGTGTCGGTGCTAAATTAATTTTCTCAGAAAAGTAGTGTATCTTGTCTGAAGCTTTGTCTGAGCTATTGAAGAATCCGCAACTGCCAGGTTTAAATTTCCTGCAAACATTTTCAAAACAACTTGGCATATCTTCAATAGAACGGAGTGTTTATAACAGCAAATTTGTTCTACTCTTATTTTTTTCAAAAATTGTTTCCATAGGGCCATATAACTGGGCTTACTGGTGTTATGGAGTTCAGAGAAGATGGCGCCAACCCCTACGTTCAATTTGAGATACTGGGCACCAGTTACAGTGAAACGTTCGGCAAAGACGTGCGGAGGGTAAAGATACACTGTTTTTTCTTTTTTTTCCCCTTCTCTGCATAATATGCATTCTACTTCACAGGCGAAAGCATTATTCTCTAAGAATGAGTTAGTCCTTTTACTCATGCTACAGAAGTAATTTACTATAAAATAATATTTTCTATTTTCTTACGCACTTAAATCTTGAAAGCTAATTTTATGTTGGTAGGCGGGAGTCCTGCAAATTCTTCTCGTGTGCTGTAACAATACAGCATCTTATAGTGCTATGAACAAAACCTAAAACAACCATTGTTTACTCTGTCCTGTTTTTCAATATAAATTATGGTATAATTGATATAACTGACACTTGTCTTATGAAGGAAATTAACCGAAACTAATTTGTTTAAACATACAGAGATTATCAAAGTAAAATGGCTGAAAGTATTTTGGGGAGGAAAAAAAAGTCCTATAGAAGGCAATTTTGGCAGCAGAGGAGGTTACAAAGTAAAGGATGGCATGCTGATGCTAGCAGGTGGAACAGAAACAGCCTGGGATCCGAAGGCAGTTAGGGTTGTTTCATAGGATCTTCAGCTTAAGTTGTGGCACTTTGAAGAGACTATCTAGGACATGATCATATAGAGAAGATGCTCCAAAAAAACCCATGAAACTCTGACTTGAGTAACTAGGTTATGATTGGATCCCAGACTACAAAGTGTCCCAGGAAGGAGGACTATCAGGTTTGTATGGTTGAAATGCTAATGTTGCTGCTGTATGGCCCGTGGTACCCACATTAAGCAGCGTCGATCAAAGAGACAGAATTCCAGGCAGAACTGAAGTTTATTAAAGTTACCTTTTGTTACCTGAGTTTCATTTTGATTCAGCTTCATTACACTAGCTTAAATGTCAAAACAAGCAGAGAAGTTGTCTATAAGCTACCATGTTAAAAAGCTCGAGCTGAGATTCTTTTAGAGTCTAATTTTTAGGCTGGCGTGAAGATTCTGGACTAAAGGCTGTAAGTGGCTGTTAGGAATACAACAGAGGCAGAGAAACACATGAAATGCATAAAGTTCCAGGTCATGTGATTGAAAACTTTGTGTGGAAAAAATGTGAAAAAACGACTTCAGATGGACCAGAACACCTTCCTGTATTGTAATGAGAGGGAAAAGGTTGCTTTCAGTCCACTTTGCTTCATGTCTAGAAACTGTCTACTGCAAAGGAGTAAGTTTCACTTCTGGAAGCTGGCTGAAAGTTGAGAAATGAAGGGCATTTGGGATGATTGTTGTCTATTTCATAGAGCAGATTGGTTTAGGAGCCCTATGAAATAACTCAGGTGCACGGAGTGTGGGCATAGGCAGGTATAAGCACATATACCGAGTACCTTGTGGGATGCTGTGGAGTGTCCTGCCATGTTTCCATCTGCCACTTCAGAAAGGTTTGAGTTTGTTGTCAGTGCTGTGCTATCCTGGCAGATTTCTGGGATACCATGGGGCAGCTTGACTTTTGTTCCATTTTGACTGAAATTTCCCCAATGACTTTGAACAAGTCACATAATCACTTCGTGCTTTGATTTCCCTTTCAGCAAAATTGGTATAATTACCAGTTAGAAGAGGTTTGAGGCTTTAGAGGGAAATTATGATGTGTGAGTATATATTATTCCTTTTGTTAGAATGTACATTTAATATATGGTAGCACATGCACAAAAGCTCTCACTTCAATGTGTGCAGTGCACACTGACCAAGCTGAGATGTAATCCAGGGATGTGAAGTGGGCATAACTCAAATATCACTCAAAAGGCAAAGCAATGTGGAAAATGACTAAATGGGAAGATGACTAAAATGACTAAATTGATACTGTACAGATCATTTTTGATGCCCAACTTATTAATTTGGGATGAATTTGTTAATATCAGAAGGCTCTTTGGATGTCAAATGTAAAACCTGATACAGTTTCGGAAATGAAAGGGAGTGAAATTCTGAAGACTTTAAAGCTTTTAGTTGTGGAATACTATTTGGAGCTAAGAGGAAGTTCTGAAAATGATCCTTTTAGCCTAATAGTTGGAGAGAGTTAAAAGCCAGCAATGTGCTAGAGCACATACCCATGAGTATTTAGAAGAATTTGGAGGAGGTGATATTTCTCAGAGCAAAACTGCTAGGGAACTGCTGGAATTCAATTATTTTGACAAGCTGACTTTATTATTGCAGCAAAGAGGTGTTACAGCTCAGAAGTACTTTTAAAAGCTCAGAAAGTCAGACTTTTCCCCTTTATTTTACTTGAGTAAGAGATCAATTCTGATTTATTGTCAGTTGTTTCCCTATCATAATTTCCTATATTTTAGCTGTAGAGGAACACATTCCTCCTGAGGAACAGAGGACCTTTTTCCGGAGGACCTATCTGTGATTTTATTTTCCTCTTTATGGACAGCTTTCACATCTATTCCTCCGTGTCCTGACCCTACAAAAAGCCTTCACACTTAGGATTTGTGACAAAGTGGAGCAGCAGTACCAAGCCTAACAGAGAAGCTGGTCAGAAACTAATGTACCATAAGACTCGACATCCCTTAGAAAGTTTCTCAGGGATCATTTCCACCAGAAGACCCCTAGGCAAGGTCCAAGGTAGTAACCTCAATCCGGCAGGAATTCACAGGGCTTTTCTGTGGAGACATGTTGATGTTTCTCTGCTATCCTGGGATCTATTCTCTCCGCAGTCAAAATTGTACTTTTCATTCCACACCAGGGTGATAGAGTTACAATTATGAGTAAATATGCTTTCCTGTTTCCTTCCTTCCCCAATTCTAACACTATGTTTTGTGGCAAAGGATGATAGTGGCTTTTGCGGCTTTTGTTTGCTGTTTTCCATTCTTTGAGAAGACTTTGGTGAAGGGTGAACCTCAGAAAATAATCTAATTCTTCTGATTTAAACATAAAATCTTGAAATTAAGGACACTTTTTGAGAAGCTAAGCTTTATTTCTGAGCACTAGTGGGCAAGGTAAATCCCTTAGGATCTGTGACCTTGCTTTGCAAAAGACTTGGGTGACTGACAGTGTGTGCATGTGGAGGTTGAGAAAGCACCATGTATTCATGGTTACTGTTGTTGTTGCTGTTTTTTTTTTTTTTTTTTTTTACAAAAAAACATCAGGGTCTAGCAGAGCATTTTAAAGTTGAAGGATAAGATTTTTCAGAGAAACTGGAAAATCTTAAATGCCCAAGACTTGATGATTTCCAATATGGTTTAAGTTCTCAAAACCTGTAAACACCTTTAAAAATACCAACTTGATTATTTGCATGTAAAGAAAAGAACTAGAGATAAGAGCTATGGGAACTGTAGAAAGTATAAAACATAATAGAGTCTGGTGAAAAGGAAAAAGTAGGAAACTGTAATGGTAATGTCACATTAATGTTTTAAATAAAAGGAAATTTGAGAGACAAAGAACAACTTGGAAAAACAAGATAAGTGGTACAAAGTGCTCAGGTGAAGACAAGGGAGCAGCTAGGAGGTGGCTAATAGCCTATTATGTTCAAAGTCCTTTGAGGTTTTCATTTGTAGCTGATTTAAAAAAAAAAAAAAAAAAAAACCTGTCTTTTCGTTTCACCTCCTAGGTCCATCTCCTGTGCTAAGAGTGTCTGTATCAAATTCACCAGCAGTCTTAGTTGCTGTAATTGCAGGGTTATGCACTGTCTCATGTTCTTGCTGTGAATTTAAAGAGAGTTACCAGCAAGTCTATTATTCTTCTGGCTTACTTTTTATTTATCAGTCCTTTACTCATTTATTTTTTCACCCTCAGGATGAGAAAAGCCTCTCTGCTGTTTATTTTTAAAATCTTCTGGTGTAAGCTGCCTGAGCCTGCGCTTAACTCCCAGCACTGCCAGTGGCTGGGTGGTGATTAACAAGTCCCCGTGCTCCAGTGACTCGGTTTCCCAGCTGCAGCAGGGAGCTGAGGGCACTTGCCTGCCTGGTGAAGCGTTTCCCAAGCCCTAATGGAAGAAAACGGCTGCTCTAGCAAAGGCGTTTAGCTGTTATCATCAATAAACTGGATGAATCATGGTATTGAACAGCCATATATATTGCCGAGTGTAGGAGAGACCAGCCCGTCAGAGCTTGTCTGCAGTTGTCAATGGAGAAGCCTGTCCAGCTCACGCAGGACTAGGAGCCTGATGTGAAAAGTTGTTCGGGGCTCCCGTTTCCTGCGGGGAGGACACCTGTGGAATTAATGGTTATTAAGGAAAGCCTTGATGCAGCTCTCTGCCCGGCCGAGAGCCTTCATGTCTCTTAGGTTTCTGCACTTGGCTGAATGCCGCACAGGAAGGTGTGTGAATAATCCAGTACAGGCAGGACCTCTGAGGGAGAGCGAGAGCTCTCGGGCTGCTTTTCTATTTTTTCTCGTCCATCCACATATAAAGAGAGTTTAATAGCCACTAACTGCCCTTGCAGGAATGTGATGAGGTTTAGATAGTTAATGCTTGTAAGGAGCTTTGAGATTATCTTCCTCATCATCATCCTTGGCAGCAAGATGCTCTGCAGCCATGAAATGATGCTGGTTTTAGCATGTCTTATGACAGAGCTCGGTTTGCACTTTAAGCAATCTGCAGTTCTTTAACAAGTTGGCTAGAACAAAGGCAGAATTAGCAGTTTACACACATGCTGTATTTCATTTTAAAAACATTCTGCTCAAAATTATAACATTAACCATTGGTTATTCATTTATGTCCGTTTGTATGTTTTCATTTATTTTTTAATTAGATTTTGTTGAAATACAGTCTGCTTCATAAATGCTCATACTTGCTTCCTTTGGCACTCCTGAGGCAGTTTGCAGAAGTTCCTGTAGATGGTTTTCTGAGGTGCTTCTCATTTGATGAAAACCCTTTTCTTGAATCTGGTTGTGATTTAATTCTGACTATTACCTGTGGAGGGATTTTGTGTTTGTCATGATAAGAAATCCTTTGCTTTTTATTTGTTAACAATTAAGTATGTTTTTTTTTGTTTGTTTGTTTTTTATGGATCTGCAGTATTAGGTGCTCTTAACTTTAAAAATATAGCCAAG